GGAGCGAAGGGGAACAAGCCAGAGTGGTCGATTGATCGGGTTGAGGCAGGTAGCTGCTCAGAGGGGTCTTTAGATCTGAGTTGGGAAGCAGAGAAGGGGTCACTTTTCTGGGATCACAGGAAGGGAGTGAACAGGGACGATGCCCAGAATGTTGTTCCTAACCCTGCATTCCCCTCTGCTGCTTTGCAAGCTCTGAGGACATAGTCATTGAGGAGTTTACTCGGCGGGAGCACCGCGGGGAGGAGAGCCAGGAGGCTGTGGCAGAGGGGGATGAGGGAAGCTGAGCACCTCGCTCTAGTGCTTCTGGGTGGAAGCCCCACTGTAACGCTCTAATAAATCAGCTTGTCCACGACGTGCCTGACAATCTCTTTGGTATTTCCTTCTCTGGGAGGGTGATGGCACTCCAGAGAACAGCACCCTCGGCCCCTGTCAGTGACAACTCTGTAGCATGTACTACACGCTAAGAGCCTAAGCAAGCCCCGACTTCCCTCTGGCAAGGCCACCCGCCCTCTGTGGGTCCTTCAACTTTCCCTCTGGGCCCTGGCTATCCCTGCCCCCATCCTACCACCGCAGCACCCCCACCACCCTACTGCCGTGATCACCCGCCGCTCCAGGCAGGGCCTGGGGGGGAGGCGGCGTGGCCATGCACTCAGGCCTGGGGCAGAGAGCAAGGTGATGAGCAGATGGACAGAGAGCACACCACCCACCTGCCGCAATGTATACCCTCGCACGCAGGGCCCACAGCGAGGCCAGAGGCTTCTCCTGGAAACCATTAAGATGGTCTCTGCACAAATCCAAACTCATGTGCCTGGGGGAGCAGCAGAGCAAGGGGGGGGGTGTCTGGGTTGGGCTTTGGAAATGAGGAGGCGTGTTGGTATGGAGTGTGGGGAGAGTTTTGGGGGCAGGGGGAACAATTTCCTCCTCCTCGCTCAGGCTGACGGGTGGCCTACTTACTCACCTCACAGTGGGGAAGATACCCCTCCTCAAGGGCTTCCTGTACGACACCTTCAACTGCACCCGCCAGGTGAGCCCACCACCAAGGCATCACACAGTACATTTTTGCCCCCTCCTCTGCCAACTCCCCTAGGGATTCTTCTCAAGGTGATCTATTCTAAGCGTTGAGAAGTTGAGCCAGGACAACCTGCTCAAGGGCCATTCTCCACTTCTGGGTCTAAGACTGCTTGGTATTGGAAGTAGAGGAGGGGTGCAGAGTATCTAACTCTGGGTTGCAGGCGATCATGGGAATCGACTTCCTAAGATCATGTGCTTGGGAGGACCAAATACTGAGTGTTTACTCTCATATCGCTAACCCTATACCTCAGCCCCTTAGGCCTATTCATTAATGGTAAGGCTACACCATCTTGGATTACCTGTGGATAAAGCAGGGGAAGAAAAATATGGAGCCTCCCCAAATGGCCAAACCCTGCTTTGTTTCTCGTTTTCTCTGCCTTCGTCTAATCTCCACCTGTAACACGAAGTCCAAAAGGCTTTGAATCCTTAAGTTGGCTGCTCTACAGGGTCTTTCTTAATCAAAACAGTATACTGAGATTGGACGGGTCCTAGGATGGTAGGCCACTTGCTTTGTGGCCGTAGCAGCCACTTTTCAGAAACACGGTTTCCTTGACACTTCATGGTTTGCCTTTTAAGTTCTAACCTTTAAAAAGTACGTTTCTTTCCCTTCTAAACATTTTGTTAAAGGATTTTATTTGTTTGTCAGAGAGAGACAGCACAAGCAGGGGGAGTGACAGGCAGAGGGAGAAGCAGGTTTCCCCGCTGAGCGGGAAGCCCGATGCAGGGCTCCATCCCAGGACCCTGGGATCATGACCTCAGCCAAAGGCAGACACTTACCGACTGAGCCACCCAGGCATCCCTCTAAACATTTTCTTGTGCAGGTTCAGCGGCAGCTATGGGACACAGCTGGCCAAGAGTGCTCTTGCAGCCTAAATTTCTAGCTACACACGATTCAACTATTGTAGTGGCTGGTCTAGGACATCACAAGTGGGTGTTATGCCATGTTTTACTCGAAAAAGGGATTGAGGGAAACAATAGGGAGGTTGGTAAGACTGGCAGAGAGGAAGGACAGGTACGTTATTGTCTCTAAACCTCTACTAAATGTTTCAACTCCCCACAACACATTCTCTTGTAGACATCAATGCTTCCAAGGAGACACGTAATTGGGTAGATGTAGGAGCAGAAAGACGTTGATATCACCATCGTGTTAGTGGGTAACACTGATCTGAACAACAAAAGGTAAGGTATAATTACAACTTCTGGCACACCCAGAGCTCAATCCCTACGGGGAGGGTCTACTGTGCTGTGTTTACATGGGAGGAGTTTACCAGTTTCAGGGAACAGTAAGGTGATGGGTTCAAGGCTTCTACAGTTTGTGTCCTGGGGAGGCATCATTACACCTCAGAAGAATCTGTCCCTATTCACTTTGAGTTACCACTTACCACTATCTGGTCCCTTATTATCATTTCTCATTTGTCCAGACAAGTCTCTGCAGATAACAGGGAAGGAAAAATCCAGAACCCTCAACGTGATGTTTGAAACCAGTGACCAAACCGGTTATAATGTGAAATATGTAATACTCATTTCTACTTCGTTGAACTCTTGTTTTGCCTTGGGGTGGGTACAAGGTTCATTTGCCTTGGGGTGGGTACAAGGTTCATTTCCCCATGCAATACAAAGACCTGGAATCGTCTCCGAATCTGGCCTTTTGTAGTACACACACACACACACACACACAGCTATTTGTCTCTGAATCTGGCCTTTTGTAGTATACACACACACACACACACACACACACACACACACACACACACACACACACACACAGCTATTCGTCTCTGAATCTGGCCTTTTGTAGTACACACACACACACACACACACACACACAGCTATTCCGGCACATGGCTTAATGCAGAGAAGGCAGACTTCCTTTGCTGAGTTGAAGGCCAGGCCTGACTGATATTTAAGGGAAAAGGGGACTAACCTCAGCCAACAGTAGCTCCCTGGTCTGCCTTCAGGCAAAAGAAGTAAGATCAGAATTCTTCTGTTTCCTAGAAGCTACCCCCCTGGTAGTTGAGATTTTAACCCCAGCTACATCCCTCTTACCTTAACACACACTTCAGTGGTTGAAATCCAACTGAAGCCTTCCATGGAGTCAGGCATCAAAAGCCATTGTTCCTATTGATAACTTGGTCTCTAATTTGATGATTTTATTGCATTTGGGCTTCCCAGTAATCCATCTCCTCCACCCTCAGATTTAAGGTTTAAATACTTGGCTACTGGTGTGCCTGGGTGGCTCAGTTGTTTAAGTGTCTGCCTTCGGCTCAGGTCATGGTTCTGGGGTCCTGGGATCGAGCCCTGCATCAGGCTCCCTGCTCAGCATGGGGGAGGGGTCTGCTTCTCCCTTGCCCCCTGCCCCTCCTCCCTGCTTGTGTTCTCTCTCACTCTCAAATAAATAAAAAATCTTTAAAAATAAATACTTGGGCTATTTACTAAGGTTTCATATGATTCCTGAACTTAGGAGTAAAATAGACTCCCCGAGGGAGTCTGGCTCAGTCAGTGGAGCAGGCGGTTCTTAATGTCAGGGTCGTTGAGTTCCAGCCCCGCGATGGGTGTGGAGTGTACTTAAAAAAAAAAAAAAAAATTTTAACAGAACCCCTGAAAATGCTATCGTTCTTTCTTGACTGCGTCTCACAGCTGTGGGGTGGAAAGTTCTTGCAGGGCCCAGGAATCCCACCTCACCTTCTCTGACTGCTAAAAGCCATCTATAGGGGATGCAGTCCTACAGCAGCTGGGATACCTCAAAGGCAGATACAGTTCATTCCCCGTGTTTTCTCATCTACACCCTCAATAAATGACTGGTCCTTTTGCCTCAGCCTGTTATTGCTTGTCTTCTCCGTGCTATGCCTGGACCTTTACAATGCAATTGCGTCATGCTGGTGTCCCAACAAAAGACCCATTCCAGGTACCGCAAAGTGAGCACCAATTTAGGGTAGGAGGTTTTCGGCCTCGTAGGCCCATGGCACCTACCTGGGACTTTTTACATTTACCACACTTCTTAGATGAGCTGTTTTAAAACCCGTTAACCGCAGGCAGAGTGTTGGACCTCAACATTCAGCAGACTCAGGCAAGTATCTCAGCCTCCAGTTTTTCCAGATGGCCACTGGGGGGCAGCACAGCAAATAGGAGCATAGAATGGGAGCAGGATTTCCCAGGAAGCAGAGACTACCTCTGCCTCTACTCACAAGGATGTAGCTACCAGAAAACAGGGCATAGTAAAGCTGAGGTGGGATTTATAGAGACAGCCAGAACTTCCTCATAGCAATATACTATTTAGAACTGTTTCCCACATTTGAAGATTTTTTTTTTTTTTTAACTCAAGATTTCCAGGTCAAACCCCAGAACAACAGAATTACTCTCCAGGGGCAGGGCCTTGGAAATACATTATTTAAGCTTCCCAGGAGTCTTTCAAGGCAAATTGGGGACTTTCATCATGGGGGCACTTCACCCCATACCTCATTAGAAACCATTCTATTCTGAATGGGTATTTTAGAGATGCCAATGGAAATGGCATAAGGTGTGGCCTGGAATGGCTAACAGTGGACTGGTAACAAAGACGCTGGCAGGTCATCTGGGAGCTGGGGTGGAGAAAAGGGGGAAAGTTAACAGTACCACTCAGCCTACAAGCTGGAAATTGGGAACCAATTTCTTACTGCTGTCGCGGAAAGGAATGCATCCAAGCCTCTCCCTTCATTTGTGTTCCAGAACAAAGATTCTGGGGAAGAAGACAATTATATTAATACCACCTCCCTGCAGAGAAATGTCCAAAGCTCATGAGCGAAGGGGCACGGTTTCTTCTAGTATCCCTCCCCTCAACCTATACTATTCCTCAGTTGCACTGAAGATAAGGTTCCTGGGCCTCCCTGACGGACTGGCCAGATGTAGTTGTAAGGGAGGTAGACGGTTGCTGGTACTTCCACTGGCACCTCTCTTTGGAAGAGCTTTTATTTTTGCCTCAATAGCATTTAAAACCCAGTCAATATCATCCAAAAGTCACACCGACATTTCCTCAGCATTGCCTTTTACTATTTTGGGGGAGAGAGGATAGGAGGGAGTGGGGGGGGGGGCAGTCCCAGGGAGTCTCCGGAGCGATTTGAGACTGGTAGTACAACGAAGGGATGAGATGGAAGGCCCCCAGGATCCTTTTTGCTATTGATTTCTAGACTCTGATGAACATATGACACGTGTGTAATTGGCTAGCACATGGTATTCAATAAACGTCAGTTGCCTCAAGATTCTTTTTTCTATTGATTTCTAGACTCTGATGAACATGATATGACACGTGTGTAGTTGTCTAGCACGTGATATTCAATAAATGTCAGTTGCCTTTTCTAGCTGCGCTCTCCACAGGCTATACCTAGGTATCTCCATCCTTCCCGTTTGAGGGAATGAATGAAGCTCACCTACAGAACGAGGGAACAAGGAGTACAGTACAGTTTAGGTAATGCAGCTGGCTAGCTGGCTCGGTGGCAGGGCCTCACTGTATCCCCATCCTCCCCGTGCCACTCTGCCAGGGTGGGGCCGAGAGTTGAGGTTCCCAAGAGGCTGCCCTGAGGCCTAACCAGCTTGTCCTAGAAGATTCCCTGTGGAGGGCTATGGGCTGCAACTCTCTAGTGTACAGTCCTCTCTTTTTGACGATGATAATCTGGGGAAAGGAGAAAACAAAAGGATAGACAAGAACAGGTTACTTTCGGGCCTGCGCTCCCAATTCCCCATCCCCAACTTGGGAGGTGGGGGGCTTTAGTAATCAGTAGAGAGTTCCTACCCAGGGCCCCGCCAGGTAAATGAAAAAGAGAGTGGCACTTACTGTAGGGAAAGAAGCGGACACGCATGCTGATTTCGCGGGCTGTCTTCAGGATCTCAACAGCCTGGAAGGAACACAGCAGCTTGTACAAATGAAGATACGACCCAGGACAGTATCATGACAGGAGAAAAACAGTTTGCTACTCCAACCTTCGGGGTCCCTAGTAGGTGCCTCCTCCTGACGGACTTGCTCAGCAGAAACGCCTCCTTACCAAGTTACAGACCAGGCTAATCCTGTCCAACCTTTCCTACCCGGGATGGCTTCTCGCCTCACCACAGCCCAGATGCTGTGCTCACCTTGCTGTGCTCAATGTCTTGGAAATCCACATCATTCACAGCTAGGACTTGGTCCCCTTCCTGAAGTCCTGCCCGATGTGCATCCGAGTCGGGAATCACCTGTTGGTAAGGAGAAAATATATGAGATTGAGGCGAGAGAATTTCAAAGGCTGTAAGTGAAATTAAGTGCTATTCAAATGTAAGGTGCTAGCGTTTCTGTGTGTGTGTGACAATGTAGGGGAACAGATGGTTTGCCAGGTGAGAAGTTTTAAATGGGAAAGGGTGTCCCCATGATGCCCCTTCTGTAGGTCTATTGTGTCATTCTTCTCCCAGGCCTTTGGACACCAGGGTTCTGCAATCTGGTAATTTAACAAAGGGAACTAGCAATCCATATTGCCTACCAGGCACACATACCTTGGAGATAAAGATGCCTAGCTGGGAGGCCTTTCCTCCTCGGATATTAAATCCCAACTGTAAGACAAGAGCACAGAAGGGGGGCTCGATATAGATCACACACACAAGAACATCTAATAGCATCACTGTATGATAGCTTGGCTTATGTGTTCCTCAGAGAGAAGTCAGAAGTTGTGGAAGTGGTATCTCAGATTTTCTGCCCATTAAAAAATTTCCTTACCTCCCTACCTGCTTTCCCATCCATCCCCCCAACCACTGTCAACTTCTGGGCCTGGTACAGACAAAGCTAGCCTGGAATAAGATGTAATTGTTCTGGAGCTCCTGAGTGGCTCAGTCAGTTAAGCATCTGCCTTTGGCTCAGGTCATGATCTCAGGGTCCTGGGATGGAGCCCCGCGTTGGGCTCCTTGCTCACTGGGGAATCAGCTTCTCCCTTTCCCTCTGCCCCTCCCCCTTGTGTGTGTGCACGCGCTCTCTCTCTCTCTCTCTCTCTTTCTCTCCCTCAAATAAATAAATAAAATCTAAAAAAAAAAAAAGACACAATTGTTCCATAAGCTCACCTGAGCTCCAGGGGGTTTCTTCAGTGTGACAATTCGGGGCAGAAACTGGGTCAACTCATTGTTGTAGTCTGGGTGATATACTCTCTGCAAGACACAGCAACCCCAGAAATCTTACTACCAGCCTTAGATTTTATACCCACCTTCATCTGGACTACAAATGCATCACCTCGAAGTCAGGAAAAGGTGTGGTCATGGGCTTCGATAAGTAGAACAGATAACGCTGTCCAAATGGGTAGATGGATAGCATGGGGAAATGTTAGCAGCCCAGTAGCTCCCCACCTCTTTGCCTTGAGGGAACAGAAACTAGGGCTCTGAATTTCCAGAATTCTCTGATGTGAATGGACTCTGGCAGGAGGATTCCATTAGAAGTTCCCAAAGGGCCCAGTTGTTCAGAATCCAACTTCTGGGTCCCCTGGCTACAACAAAGGCTAGAATTCACCCTCCACTGGGCTTTCTAACCCTGCCATCCCACCTTTCATGTACCATCTCATGCCCACAAGGATAAATCCCCTACTTAAGCATTACCACCTCATGAGGTGGGATCCATGCCGGGGGATTCTCATAGGCAGGCAGGAAGACCACGGGGTAGTCATCATAAGGAATCCGGCTGTCCATCTCCAGCAAGGCTCTGGAATGGAAGGGTGGATCAAAGCTGATAAAAAACGGTTCAAAAGGGTCAGCAGTCCAGCAAGTTTCAAAAAAACAACCCCACTCCATCCTGAGGCTGTCGGTCTATGGGCTCAGCCCACTTCCTGGTGATAGAGGCTGAGAGAGAGAAAGAAAAAAAAGATGGACGAAAACAAGTAACTTTGCTGAACACCTGGATGCCAAGCGACCTGTTAAGTTACTCCATAGAGACAATCTCCTTTCTCACAACAATCCTGCAAAATAGATGTTACCGTCTTCATTCCAGAGAAGAGGAAATCAGGAGCGTCTAATTTCCGAAGTCCAAGAGAGGGGCTGCCTCCAACTATCCATAGGGACTCGGGGCAAGGCACCGCCCCACATTCCCTAAATGAGATCAGTAATGGTGGGGGTCCCCAGAACGGCCCCTCCTTCACCGCCAGCCACCTTCCAGGTCCCCGCCCCGCATTCTGCTGGCGTCCGGCGCACAAGCCGCGCTACGTGCCACACCGCCTCACCCACCCGCAGGCCTCAGGAACCTCAGGCTCCGCTCACCGCCAATTCAGTCTGGAAGCCGGAAGCGGATGCTCGGGTGGATCGGAAAGGGCGGGTTCAGGGTGCGGCGCGCAGGTCCTCCCCTTCCCAACGCGTCTTCCTGCGCGCGCCGACGTGCGTGCTCTGCCCGCAATCTGTCTGCGCTCCGATTGGCTGGCGCCTCAGGGACCGATTTGAAACTTGGCGGTTAAAGCTCCGGTTGGGACAGGGCGGCGGGAGACCGGGGAAGGGACGTTTAGTTCGGTGAGTTAAGGGAGCACACCTTAGCTCAGGATCTGCCTTTCCCGGGACGCTGGGGCTTTGGTTCTTTGTCGTCAAGAAACCCCCGCTGGGGGTTTCCTTTTCATTTCAGACTCCATTTCGCTCTCTTCAGAGCGTGGGGCTTGACGGGCTGTCCGGTCGTGGCCAAGTCTGAGGGACAGTGACTCTCCGGAGGCAGCGATCCGGCTGGGACGGGGAGGCTGCCACCGCTACTACTGAGTTCCGTAACCCATCCCACCCTCCAAGGCGGGCCGGAACTCCCACCCCTCCCGACCTACCAAGATTCATCAGCAAGTATCTTCTTTTTTCCGCCCCGCAGAGACGGTGCTGCGATAGGATCATGAAGGAAGAGGTGAAGGGAATTCCTGTAAGAGTGGCACTGCGATGTCGCCCTCTGGTCCCCAAAGAGATTAGTGAGGGCTGCCAGATGTGCCTTTCCTTCGTACCCGGGGAGCCTCAGGTGCGTAGGAGAGTGCTGGGCCTGCCTCTGAACAGCTGGGGCCAAATGGCAGTGAGGGGCGTGGTCTCGCCTTTCAAGTTTTCTTACTCCTTGTCCCTTGCCTTCTCTAGGTGGTGCTTGGTACTGACAAATCCTTTACCTACGATTTTGTGTTTGACCCCTCTACGGAACAGGAAGAAGTCTTCAATACAGCAGTAGCACCGCTCATAAAAGGCATATTTAAAGGTAAGGCTATTTAATTCTTCCACTGATTCTCGAGCATGTATTTTGTGTCAGCCACTGTGCATGGGTGCTGCAGATAGGGGAATAGATGAAACATGAGTCCTGCCCTCAAAGAACCCACAGCCTAGGAACTAACTCAATATCGTTTGCGAAAATCTGTACCCTTGATGCTAGTTTTATACTGTATTTGCTTTCTGTGGTTCTGCCCATCTTTGACGTGTACATATATTTTTGTTAGTTTGTCCTGGAACTTCATTCAGTTCTAAGCTCTTTCATGGGTGCTGAAGATGATCAATTTGCCAACCTACGTAAGGCCCAGGTACTCTGAAGCCTGTTGAGGATTCAGAGAAGTTACATAGCTTCCATGCCCTGGAGGAGTTCAAAGTCCAGGAGTTGGAGTGGTAGTAGATGACTACATACGTAATTTTAAGTACATAAAAAATTTTAACCTTTTTGCACTTATCTTTAAGAAAAAATATTTTAAAAAGTTAAAAATACACAATAGAATAAGTCCTGCTATAGAAGTAGCACTGCTTTCCAAGTGTTATGAAAACCAAAAGGGGGCGCCTGGGTGGCTCAGTTGGTTGGGCGACTGCCTTCGGCTCAGGTCATGATCCTGGAGTCCCGGGATCGAGTCCCGCATCGGGCTCCCTGCTCAGCAGGAGCCCTGCTTCTCCCTGTGACCCTCTTCCCTCTCGTGCTCTCTATCTCTCATTCTCTCTCTCTCAAATAAATAAATAAATAAAATCTTTAAAAAAAAAAAAAAAAAAACCAAAAGGATGGCACTAACTCTGCTTGGGGGATTAGGGGTGAATTTCACAGCATGGGGAACCTTTGAGAGAGATCTTGGATGATGAATAGAATTCGTTCAGGTGAAGAAGGTTATTTCCTAAAACCCCTGAGTACTCTGACCAATCTTTATTGAAGAAGCTAAGACTTTAGTGTTGTTGAAGACCATAGCAGTATAGCGGGGTTCTAAAGAAGGGAGCAGTGCCCGAGAGATGTTTAATTACTGTTATTCTAGTACAGAGGTTATTCAGGATTCAAAGCAGAGGTCTATGTAAAAGAAGTTGAACCACGGCACACCAGTCCCTTAAAGATAAAAGACACATTTGTACATTCTATAGTCTTTGCATCGAAAGAAAAATGCTTTCCAGCAGTATCTCTAAGCGAACTTCCAGCGTCTATTTAATTTTTTTTTCCTTTGATAGGGAACTCACTGACTCACAAGGTGGTCCCATTGATTGAATTTGGACAACTTCAATTGCACTAGATTATATTGAGATGAAATTTGCTTCCCTATAATTTCTACCCAGTGATCTTAGTTCAGCCCTCTAGGCAAATTCACATATTTTTCCCACTTTTTAAAATGATATTATGGCTCAGGACACACTGAACACTTTGTTTCAAATTTTTAAAATATTAAAGCAATAATGTCAAACTTAGAGAAATGTTGCAAGAACAGCATAAAAAACTTTTTTCCTGAATCACTTGAGATGGATTGTTGACCTGATGCCTCCTGAATACTTTAGTGTATATTTGCCACACTCAAGGACTTCCTTCTACATAACTACTGTATAAGCATATAAGCATCAAAATCATGAAATTAGCATTGCTACATTACTACCATCTAGTCCTCAGACTTTGTTCAGGTTTCACCAGTTGTCCCAATAACATCCTTTAGAGTAAAAGAATCTGGTTCAAAAGCACTTGTTATATTTAGTTGTACTGTCTCTTTATAGTCTCTTTCATTCTAAAGTTTTTTCAGTCTTGTGTGTGTGTGTGTGTGTGTGTGTGTGTGTGTGTGTGTGTGATCCTGACTTTTAAAGACCAGTTGTTGTGTAAACTGTTTATCAATTTTGGTTTGTCTGATGTTTACTTATGATTGGATTCAGGTTGTATATCTGTACCAGGAATATCACAAAGTGATGCTGTATTCTTCCCATTGAATCCTATCGCCAGCACATGATGATTTGTTTCATTACTGCTGATGTTCATTTTGATTATTCGATTACAGTGTTATCTGCCAGGCTTCTCCACTATAAAGTTAATCTTTTTCCTATTTACACATTTGGAAGACAATTATGTGATTCTGCCTAAGTCTCTTCTAATTAACCATCCCTGTTTCCTTTAGCTATTCTGGAAACAGTATGGTTTCCAGACCCTTCGTTATCTAGTCATCTTCCTCAGAATGTTGCTTCAAAGCTCAGTAAGAGCACTATAGTTCTATACTTTTGTCTTAACTTGGGAATCTGAGAATTGAATTATAGTCTTTAGAGGCATATGAAGTAGGTAGTGATTCCGATATATATGTTTGGTTAACATTGCTCTCGGTTGCAAAGACACAGCCAATATTTTTCAGTCAGCTCAACATCATCCTCTTGTACTCAGAATTCCCAGTACCAGAGAGCCCTGAATATTTTGGGGAAAGTACTGAAACTTGGTTTCCCCAGTTATTACTATGTACACATATCTGTGGTATTGTAGAAGATTATGGGATATTATTCTTTTGCCTCATGGTCATGCCAGGTGATACTAGCTATTTATTACAGTGAAAATCTTGCTGTAACATCTTATGATCTTTCAGAATATCAAGGAAGGTCTTCATTTAGATAAACAAGTTCTTTTCAAAAGAAACAAAATGCCAAGGAGCCTGATAATATGGTCCAGATGCAGTCTGAGAGTTTAGATAAGGAGTGGATGCTTTCACTGATCATAAAAATCAACTTTGTTGCTTTTTCAGGTGAAGACTGGTCATCAAAAACATATGTTGGAATCCCTTCTATTTATGCAACTTCTAAGACTTTCATTTAATTCCCATAATTTAGAATTGCTAAAAGTAGAATTATAAAGCTCTGAATGGCTTTCTTGCAGTGCGTCGGCCGCCTTCATTATCTCAGTCTTTAAGTGTTTTACTTCCTAGCTTTTAAGGGCAATGAAGAGGGGCACACATTCTGGGGCTGGTATTTTTCTTCTTTGCTGGTTTGGAGAAATGCAAAATCCTGGCATGCATATAAGTTTTCTCTGTGTCTGCTATTCCTAAGAGACCCCTGTCTTAAGAGAGCAATCTCAATTTTGTTGCAAGTAATTGCTGAAGGAAATGGTGTATATTGATTGGATGAAAATATTTGAGTACCACTATGCATGTGACTTCTATTTTGCCAGGATACAATGCAACCGTCCTGGCCTATGGGCAGACTGGCTCTGGAAAAACCTATTCAATGGGAGGTGCATACACCGCAGAGCAAGAGAATGAACCAACAGTTGGGGTCATTCCTAGGGTAATACAATTGCTCTTCAAAGAAATTGATAAAAAGAGTGACATCGAATTTACTCTGAAAGTGTCATACTTAGAGGTAAATGATTTATCTTTAATTATACTGAATTCAAATGTATCTTTGGATAGAAAAAATAAATCCAAATTAAGTTTTTTCCTGGCATGACTCAAATTAGTAAATTGCATTTTTAGTAAATTACATTTTAATAAAATTGATAGAGAAAATTTACTGGCTCAGTTGGAGCTGGCTCCTGCCCAGTTCTTTTCTTGTCAGAATAGTCTGTTTAATCTGATTGTTGGAGGAGTTGGCATCGCCGCATAAAAAGATGATAGGGGTTCTTTAATTCCAGTTTGGCCTCTGCTGCTGATTCCCTGTAGCGTCTGCAGAAAAATATTTGATTTTCCTTTGCTGTTTTGAGGCCTGAGTGACAATGCTTCTACTTCAGGAAGAATGTTATAAAAAATGGGTGAAGTATTGAGCTATGTGATAATAGAATGTGTTTATTCAGCAGATGTTATTGAATACCTGCTGTGTTACAGGGCCTGTTCTAGGTACTTGGGATATATCCGGGAACAAAAAATCCCTACCCTTCTGTGGTTTTCATTCTAGTGAATGTCACTATACAACTAGATTGACCAGTTATATCTAACCTCGTGACCTCAAACACATGTTCAGGAAATTTATGGGTTTTGGGAAACTAGCTAGTTGGTTCCATAGCAGTGATTAACAAGCAATGATTAAGCTTATATAATGTAAGCATGAAATTATATATTGTATGTGAATACTCCTTCCTGGAGTTGAATCTTAATACATTAATAGGTATTGGAGGAGTAGAGTTGGAAGGCAGGGAGTTAAACATCATTAAGATTTAGCCTTCTTGAATCTCTTGATTAACCCAGTTGTGGTCAGGTAATCAAATGTAAAAATTACTTAAGAACCTGGTATGTTAAATTGCAGCAACAGCAATAATAGCAAACAAATATGGTGCTTGCTATATGCTAAACACTGTTCTAAATACTTAAAGTTCTGGTGGTTGAAATATTGGTTGCCACTTCTCCCATGTGCTTCCCATTTCCACCCTCCACTAAGGACCCCTTACTTAAACATTGTAGCAAAATCAGGGAAGGTGATGCTGTTATGGTACCATCAAAGAACTGAATTTGGGCACTCAGGTAACTTTTCACTGTGTCTGCAATTCCCAAGAAACTGTCCTAAGAGAGCAGTCTCAATTTTGTTACAATGAATATGTGAATTCATTCTTGTAAGTATCCAACGGTTACATGTGAGATTAAAGGCCTTTTCTTAATTATAAAAATAATATGTTGTAAAATATTTTTTAATACAGAAAGTCACAAAGAATTTTAAAAATCACCTATGATCCCACCACCCCAAGATTACCACTATTAACATCTTGTTTTTACCACTTTATTTTTAACAATACCAGATTTACAACGAAGAAATTTTGGATC